CTTGCTTTGCTGAGTAGAGAATGCATTTTAAAACTATTTTAATAAGCATACATAAAAAGGATTTCTGTGTTACGGTCAGTTCAAAGTATCACAGGCTGGCAGGCATTGCCTTTAAAGCTTTAAGTTATTGATTGTCTGTCTACATATCAGCTTGGAGACCTTCTATTTCATCATCTTGTTACATATTATCTGTTAGTAAACAGATTCATTGTTAGAGATTGTGAAAATGGCATGTGTTAGCAGACCCAGGTATTTTGACTAGTTAATCTTGAACATGTACTTTGGAATATACTAATACAACTAACAATAGAATAATGATAAAACCTGGAAGTTCATAATAAGATAACTAACTTATTGATTTAGCTCTGTAAAGGATGTTTTGTCTGACTTAATAGGACCAAGAAGTTTTGGACAGTTCAATCTCTGTAATATGTGGTAGCCTTATCCCCCCCATGTACCCCACCCCTCAGCTTTTAAAAATATTATATAACCCCTAAAAATAATTTATCCTTGAATTTGTTAGGACCAGACTAACTGATACAAACACTCAGTGTCATTTGGACTTCATTTGTATGCAGCCACTCCTTGACAGATTCAGTAGTTTAACAAATACTTCTTTTCCCACACTGTTTTTACCTGATTTGTATTGGGGTACTTGTATTCTCAGAGGGAACAGCTTAACAGTTCACAGTTTTAATGGTGAAATGATCTGCTTGTGTTTTCTATATGATGGTGTGTTGTGTGCCATTATTGTGTTCCCCCCCTTTTTTTTTTCCTTTCCCCTCCAGCCTCCAAAGTGGCTGGCAGTCCTTGCTCCATCTATACAAACAACCCCTGTACAACTCTGTGTCCGGAGCTGCTTCCTTTAATGGGCTGTCGTGTGTGTATGTCTCTCAGAAGTGCATGTCTGTGTTATAGAGCAGCTGGGTACCAGGGCATTAAACCTATAAGACTCCTAATGTGCCTGTCTTCAGCTGTACAGACAGAAAAAAATTCAGACTGACCCCTTCAAGTTACCGTCAGAACTGCAAAAGCATGGGTAGGCATTTATGGCCAGGAAGAGGCTATTGGGGAGATAAATTGGTCTGAGAGCAGTTTCCTAGGCAAGCTGCAGTGCTACTAGACATAAATGGTGTGTTCCTGGTTACTGACTAGGTGCCTATGCCTTCCTATGCCACCAGAACCACTGCAAGCACCACAGTGGTGGAAAAGAGTAGCAAGGCGAGCTTGGAAGAGTTTACAGACAATATAAGTACAGGTTGCAGCCTGTGTGTTTCTTGGACCATGAAAACAATCTAAAGTGCAGCTGCCTATGGATCTACAGAAGCAGTTACTGATCCACCATTTCTTGTATGTGTGGCTACGAAGGCAGCAAATAAGGATCTCTCAGCAAGGTGAATGAAGAAGAAAAGGTTCAAAATTGCCTTTGAAACTGTGAAATTTTGGTTTTGGACCTGTTCCCTCTGGATGCCAGAATCAAGTATCTGATGCTTTGTCTCGGTGCAGAGCTTGCATCGCCTAATTTTTCACTGCATGCAATTAACTTCAAACAGTCCTGGAACTCTTCGGCTGTTCATTGCTTTCTGAGATCAGTGTGTTTTGGGCTTTTGTGAGCTGTAGCAGCCGTTCCTTAGCAATTCTGCCTGTCATCAGTGAGTGGGGAGAAAAGGTCATATGGTCACAGCACAGACCGGTATCCTGTCAGCAGGCCTCTCTGCCTCTTCAGGATGTGTGGGGTGGTAGCATAATGGATCCTTCCAGCGTAAGGCAATTCTGACTGCATTTGAATCGAGCTGTCTGAATTTCATCTGATCTGCCTTGCACACTAGTCTGACCAGAGAATGGGGAACCTAATCTCTCATGATTAAGTATTGCCCTAGTGTGTTAGCGTGGGTTTTTTTGCTGAATGTTCTAGTCTTTATAGCTTGGAAAAAGAAGTGGACCCTTCAGTATCACCTGACAGTTTAATAAATACACAAAAATGTGTGTGGTGGGTTTTTGGGGGATGAGAGCAGTTAGTGGAAAAAGTGAAAGCGAAAAAAGAGGTCCGTGGGGAAGATTGTTGTGAACAATGCAGATTATTTTTTTAAAATGTTTTTGTTAATCTAGAAGGATATTTCTATATGGCAGTTCATAAGCAGATGTCAGCTTGCTTAGTTGTTCTGCTGGGATAACTAAAATCCTGTAGCTATCCTATTTTGGCACTGATCCCAAACAAATAATACTCTCTCTTTCAGCAAGGCATGTTTAAATCAACCTTCAGCGTGCCAGCCTCAGGTTTGCGGCTTCTAGTTTCCTGAGGTCATGTACAAAGCAACTTGTCTTTCTGTAAAATAGCATTCAGATAAATTCAGATCTCTATTATGATACCAGTAAACAAACTGCGTGATTAAGCCAACTTTAAAATCTGAGGAGTGTGGATCCTATTTCTGGGATCTCCCCCATGTGGACTATGTTAATGCCCTGTTAAGCCTGACTGAGATGCCTGGGCCCAAAAGCATCTAATTATCTTTATTTTTCTCATGCTTGAGTAACTGAGAAAAGGTTGTGGACTAAGCAACTAAACGCAGATGCAAGAAAAAGTATCCTACGCCAACATCTGCTCTTGGTCTTTTTCTGAGAAGGAGATGGTGAGATTGTTTCTCAAGCTGGATTCTGTAAGTTGGATCCCATGGGCTGTGACTGAGGACCCTCCTCTTGTTGGGAGAGGGTAGTGGTGCACTGAGTCAAGTGCAGAAGCGCTCAGTGAGAGCAGAAATGCACATGTGGTACTCCAACTTGAGTAGTCTCCAAAACTCTCATGTTGAATGTCACTGAAGCTGAGTAATTGATAGAAGATAAATTGGACGCTGTTTTGGAATGTAAGACAAGGGTGGACATTTTAGGATATTTGTGATATATAAAAATATTAACAAATGGCTTTTCTTAATTTGATGCCAACGTAGTTTTGTACTTACTTTTTCATAAATCTGGTCAGTTCTATTGCTGTCTGTTGCGACCACACTGTCATAAAACATATTGGTAATGTCCTGTGCCTTAAAGCCTGATCATGACTAAGAATTTTGAAGGCTTAGGACACCTACTAGTGGTCAGTGCTGGTTGAGGTTGGTTGTTAGGTCCTTCTTTTCTGAACTATTAGATTTCCTAGTAGGAGACAATTTTCTTTGAGGTGAAGGTGAAAGATAGACTTGTGATTTGGCTGGAATTGTCTTGGCCGATTGACACTTTCGTCAGTAAGTGGATATGTAGATGTTCATATAAGTTCCCTGGCAATCATCTCTAACAATAGAGGGTGGGAGAAACTTGCTTACTTTTTTTTTTTTTAAATTTTCTATTTGTTTAGTGGTTTGTTTTTAGTTTTACCTTGTTAGCCAGTAGTCTCTGCTTCAGGATTAGCATTCAATTCTCTCCATTAGCTTTTCGAATGCCTCCAATTGGTATTGGTTAGGGAGTCCAGCCCTGTGGTTATATAGGAGACCAATGATAAAGCAAACTTTCTGAGTGTTCCTACAAGTCTCCTTTTGAAGGCACTTTCAATCATATGTGGAATTCAAGAAGGCCCCAGGGACAACATCTGGTGCTTCACCCATTGCTCTTGGTATCTGTTTAACTCCTTAACCACCTAGGTTGGATCAGCTTTCCTCACAAGTGTCTCTGACTAGCCATTGCCTACAAACAGTTCTTCATTTGCAAATCTTTTTGCTTTCCAGAGAAACAGTGCTCATTTGTCTTCTTCTTCTGACATGGTCACAGCTGTTGGGATTTTTTTTCCCCTCTTGAATTCACTAGCTTATCAGATGAGCCATGTAAGACTCTGCACAGCTGTATTAATTAACAGGAGGAGTGCAATCACTTATGTCACTCCTGTGAAGCTGTAATTTGAATAACGTGTAACTGAAATAGTTTTTTGGCTTTCAAAAATCTCATACCCTGCTGACAGGTCATTTCAGAAATCCCAATATTTTGAGCATGGCTTCTCTGTGCTGTAAAATAAAAACATGCAAGAATTCTTTACTCTTGCCCTTTTTCAGAGTTCTTTACTGCTTTATTAACCTGTTCTGATAATTTTGATACCCTTTTCATTCCCCCCTGGAAATAAATTTATGGTCAGAATCTACTTCCCACCCTCTGAATGCGGAGATACCATTAAGTGAAAACTTGCTCAGTTCATACGCATTTGTCAGTGTTTAATGGAACTTGCTTGAATGGCTAGTGAGATGTAAAAGGCAACCCATTGCTTGCATCCTAACAGATCATGCCCATGTGCACCAAAAATTGTTATGCTGTTCAGAGCATGTTCTCACAAAGGTCCTTGCTTACTCTGTAGAAAAGATGGCTAAGAATTGCCTGCTGAGAAACAGGGGAACTGCTCATGGAAACTGCTCCCAGATGCTTGCCTTCAAGTGAGCAGTTGGGAGCAGTAGAAGTCACTGGGCTCTTTGAATTGTGGCAATAGCAGCTTGCCCTTACCATTGCCCTAGGAGAAGATCTTCATGTGTGTACATGCAGTGCATCCAATCTGATACAAGTGTATTGCAAGGCTCACTGGGGGAAAATGGTGACTGCTACTGCTGGAACAATTTGGAATTTGGGAAAGAAGGCTGGCAGGAGCAGTTGTATGCTAGGTTAACAATCCTGTCCTGTGGGATTAAGCACCCTAACTCAAAACAATATCCCACTCCTTTAGAATGCTGAGAAACAAAATAAAATGAACTTTAAAAAACCCCAAACTCTACTGTATTGACTTACCCAGTTTTTTGGATTCTGTGTCTACTGTCATATGTGGATACGATGGTGATAAGACTTTAAAAGGGGTAAAGGTAGAATAAATTTGCTATTGAAACTTAGAGCTGTTTCTATAGGACAAAGTAACTGCATTACTTAGTCTATAGTTTTCAGTGTAAATTCAAAATTATGCCAATAATTGCTTGTAGCTTTATAAATCAAAAATAGATCCGAAAAATATGAATGCATCTTGAATATGTTATTTTGCATTTTAGGAGAACACACGTATTGTCAGGGTGAAGGTTATAGCTGGAATTGGCCTGGCCAAGAAGGATATCTTAGGAGCCAGGTAAGAATATATGTTGTTAATGTATTAAGGGGCAGCTGCTTCTTTATTTTTTTTTTCCACAGCTGTTTTGATCTTAGTAAATCGTGCTGTGCCTCTGTCCAAAAAATCAGAACTGTTTTAACTGGTAACATTATAAAATAATCGGAGACTATATAAACATGAAGATATCTGTTTTCTTGCCCAAGAGTCACTTGGAGAGATCTTACACATTGGCAAAACAATGTGTGGGAAGGTTTAATTCTCTGCGTGGTAAAATAGTTCTGCCATGGAGGATAGATACATGTATGTATTTTGCTTCAGATAGACTGCAGCTAAAATAACAAGAGTTCAGTTATAATCAAAATTGTCTCATCTGTGCTTTAAAGACTTGGAATGAACACAACACTAAACGCTGGTAGCAACAAGACTATTTCAACTCAAATTACATGCAGAGGAGCAGCATCCACCAATTCTATAGATGTGGTAAACCCATGTCAGTGGCTGCAGGCTCTGGGTATGTACAAATATAAAAGTTAACAATCCCTATAAGGGAAGAAACAACCAAAGTGGTTTAACATTTACCACGGGAAAAATCAGACTTTTGAAATGCTTTGTAGGATCTTACAGAATTGGCAAGTGGCAGCATGCAGGTTGTACTAAAGCTACTTTTTCTTCTGGCCCATGTACAGAGGGTCTAGAGAAGTACTGATGTGTTTAGTACTAGTTCTGCTGTCAGCTGCTTTGGCATATGTATGGGAATGCTGTTATTTTAGCACTAGCAAAATTGTTAGGTGTGACATCAGTTTAGCATTAGAAAAATTTCTCTTGTGATACTCATATTTTCCCTAAAGCCAGACAGTCTCTCTTCATTTTTTTTTTTCACATGCAATTTTTTTACTTCAGACAAAAATAGGGCAGCTTTTCTCATCATAACTTAAATATGTAAAAACCATATGCTCTTTTGCTGTATGGCAGACAGTCTTGGTCACCTTTTGTTACTAGTCTGTTTGAGCAGTTGAATGCCTTGATTCTATGAAAAGTAGATATTCATATAATCTGCTGTTTATTGTACCACAGGAAGAAGAAAAAAAATCTGAGGCGGTAGGCCATTTTAAGCAACCATATTAGGACACCTTCATTAACCGAAAAATTCAGGTTAAACTCAAACTCTGTGAAACTGATAGAATGTTTAGTAAAAATATTGCATATTCAAGGGAGTACCTCACATTCCAGGTGTTTTAAATTGTTAAAACAAGAGATTCAATAATTCAAGCTCTTTCAATCACAGCTTATGTTTTTCATGCATGTCTTCTTGAGGATTTATGAAATCTGTTCTCATTAAATAAGAACTGTGAAAGAGGAGAGAGAATCAAACTTCAGTAATATATGGAATATAAAATGGCATAGCTAGTATGGTCATCGTCAGTAACAATGTTTAGTTTTCTCTCTAAAACTATTTAGAAAATGATTGTAAGTACAAGTGTGTATGGTGTTCATAAAGTAATTTTAACTGCTAGTTTCATAGCTTCTATTAATTTAAGCCATTTAAAACTCAACTGCTAGTAATGTTGACAATAAAGGATCTATAGCAGCATGCTTATCTTTTTATTTCCCCTTCCCAGTGATCCATATGTGAAAGTGACAGTGTATGATCCAGTGAATGGAGTCCTTACCAGTGTTCAGACAAAAACTATTAAAAAGGTTAGCCATCTTACCTTTGTGGGTGTGGTGGTTTTGTTTGGGTTTTTTTGATCAGACTCTAGAGAAAAGGTTAATACTACAGAAATATGAGAATTAGTATGTCACTTGAGTGAATGGACATGGGGAAAGGAATGTTCCCTGACCTACTCTGTTTCTCTGTTCATGGCATTATTTTGGTATTTTCTTTTCAATAATACTGGTGAAAGGTAGAGAAACACTAAGGAATACAAGGTGAAAACTGATTCAAAACTGCATAATTCATGGAAATGCTGGATTGTTCTGGTTTTCTGAGATCTTTAATGATATAAGAATCTCTCTTGCTGTGCAACTTTTTTTACTCTCTTCTTGCAAGAGTACAGCTTTTTTACTCTCTTCTTGCAAGAGTACAGCTTTTATTTTTGCTATGTTTGAAACAAACACAATTTGTTGTGTTTCAACATCAAATTGGACAGTTCACCTGAATCATGGTACTACCCGTTTCTCTAGAATACCAGCAGGAAAAAGTTGGTCTTGGTACTGGTAACTTATGTTAGATCAACTAAAAATAAAAAATTGTGTACATGAGAGGGAAAGTACTCTTCCAAATCATTCTTTTCAGATAGTGGCTGTGATTTATGTTATGAGATCACTCACACATTTTCCCTTCACGTTGATAATTGTTAGTTTAGCTATGATGAGAGTTCAAAGTATCTCTAGTATTTTTAAAAATAGCCACAATTGAAAGATGTATTTAGGTGAACAGGTGGTATTGCTTGGCCCACCTGTGCCTGGTCTGTCTAGATTATGTTGTTGAGAGATTTGGCATTTGCTAGGAGTTCATAATTTCAGGATTAATGTATGTTTGCATTTAAGCAATGTGGATAGTGGACTGAGGAAAAGGCAGTGATTATTACTGAAGACATGCCATATATTAACTGATTTGGACTGTATAACGAGCCCTTCTCTGCATCCATGGCATTAACCAAAATCTGAGAATACTTGCATAAATTGTCTCCGTTCTGCACTGTATTAAAAGTCATAGGAGTCTTACACTGTTTACCTGCAATAGCAAGGTTAAAGATTTTGTACTGTCTTCATAAGTGGATTGTTATGTGGGATAAAACAGACCTAAAACATCAAAAAAGACCCCAATATAGAATTGTCACTATAACCAATGCTGTCTGTCTTTTTTTTTTTTTACCTCTTTTCCTCCCCCCACATATAGTCCTTAAACCCAAAGTGGAACGAAGAACTCTTATTTAGAGTAAGTGTTTTTACAGCCTTATTACCTATGTTGGATATTGTATTAACACATTAGGAAAAATGTTTTCTCAGTACTTCAGCTTAAAATCAGAAATATGTCTATAATTAATGTTCGAAAAGGCTCACAAACTGCTTTCCTTAGAAATACATTTGTTAACATTTCTATCTGTGCCAGAGTTAAATTTTCAGTCTTGATGTTATTTTCTTTATTCCATGAATGTTGAAAACATGAACATGGATTTAAAAACAGTTTGGGATAGCACCAGTCTTGGCTCATGGATTCTGATAGAAATGCGTTGCATAGTGAAATGGTGGCAAGGTGTAGATTTGCTGTTTAATTCAGGTCTTATGTATTTCTTTCCTCCTGCATAAACATAGAGATTTTGCTGAAGTCAAATGCTGGAATTCAGGATATATTTTAACTATTAATGTATTTCTTTTTCGTAGGTTAATCCTCAGAAACACAGACTCCTTTTTGAAGTATTTGATGAAAACCGTTTGGTAGGTCCTTTTGTGTTAATATTGCAATGTTATTCATTCAAGTGCAAAGACTTGAATGAAAGTAAGTTTGTCTGGATTTAACATGGATAAAAAAACCACACCAAACAACCTTAACTTCTATAATGAAACCTAAAACTAAAGGCAGACCCGATTCGTTTACTTATCTGACATTACCACACTTTGTGGTGCTCTGAAGCAGTTATATTATTCTTAACTTCTAATGTGCTTTAACTCATAAAAGCATCGTTCTTTTATAATGCTTTTCAAATGATATGGCCAAATTCTTTGATATTGAAAGCTCTGCACTGAATATTTATTTTTCCCACAAACAAAGTAGTATTGACAATGTAGATATCTGTATACAGTGTGAGAAGCTTCTTCAGTGTGTGAGGAGTAGCGTGAAAGAAAGTATGTGTGCATTTTCTTTGGAAAGCTTAACAAGTGGATGGTGGATTGTGATCTCGTAGATAGTTGTCACTCTCTGAATGGCAAGTAAGATACAGATAGCTTGTGCATTTATTTTCTCAGTGAAATCACAACTCCTCCTCTGACTGTGCTCTCATTTTATGTGTGAAGATGTCTGTTTACCAATCTTTCTGTCTGTATGTTTTATTGTAAATGAGTAAGGCTGGTAGCAGTACAATCATGACACTTGCATCCTAGGGCCACTTCACAGACATTCCTTATCACCAGAATATATATCTTTTCCTTCTGCAATAGTTCGAAACTAATAGGAGGGATTGAGTGCTCTTTAGTTTGTACTGCAAACACAGTTTCATTCTGACAGCTGTTATAAAGGAGCTCTTTGTGCTTGAATAGTGTGTTGGCTATGAAAAACTTACTATTTTCTCCTAATGCTTTCTGCATATTTTCAGTAATCCATTGCGTCTTTTATGGAGGTGCTGTTCTGCTAAAGTTGGGAAGAGTGAAAATGTATATAAATATAAGTACAAACTGTCTGGAATAATGAGATTTAAGAAAGAAGAGGGTTGTTTCTTGGTTAGAGGCATTACACAGTCCCAAACCCATTTACTTCTTGACTGGTGGTATTACCTGTCCCAAGTATTTCAAATATGGTGTGTCTTTTATTTTTTGAAAAGCAATTTTAAAGGGAATCACCAGCATTTGTGGTTTATATGGCAGGTTAAACATGATTTTTCAGGATGATCAGATGTTCATGTCAACATGATGTTATGGGCTACAGTGTATTTTTCCTGAGGTCAAAGTACTTTGTCCATTAGCCTTTGGAACATTACTGCCACCCCCTGGAAGGCAGGAAGCATGATTAGAAAGTCAGATTCCTGATTTTTGGGAGGGAAGGCCAATGCTTTCTTTGTGGTTTCCACCAAGAGAATTCTTTAGCATTCTTTTGCTAATCTAGAGTAGATAAGTTGACCTGTTTGCTTATGGGAGAGGAACCAATAAAACATTGTATTGGCATCAACTTGGAAATGGTGCTTTTTTTCCAATGTATGATTATATTTAGAGATCAAAGCATCATGACCTCATAAGTCACTGTATAGTTCTACAATAACACCATTATTTTTCATCTTTTCCATCTCCTCATTCGGTGAATGGAAAAGGCTGTCTCCCACGCTAAGTTTCTATCCCAGATGTCTTGAGCTGTTTTAAATAAATGAAATTGTTGCCTTAGCTGTGACTGTTGTTTAGCGCTGACAAGCTCCCCCGCTTCTGTTAATTCATCTTCACATGTCAGAAATCATGGTGCCTTGCACTCTTTTACTAGGATATGCAGCTATGATCGGACGGTGTTTTATCTTCCACTATTTTACTGGGCTTCAGAGTTAATCAGCCTTTCTTTCTTCTATCTGTTGGATGACTGTTTAAACTCTAGATGTGAGCAAGCTGATAAAACTGAAATTGTTTTACATTTGTGACCATCCTTACTATGGATAATTTCCTCTTTATAAAAATTTATCCCAATTGCTTTTATTCCCTGTAACTTTTGGGGATAAATTGAAGTCTGAAACCTCTCCTTTTCGTTTTTAAGAAATTTTGTGTTCTTGAAAACCGGGCTCAAAACTTTTCTGCAAAGTCCTGCTGCATTGATTATATTGCCAACAATTGGAGTTTTAAAATCATTCTGTAATAGCTTTAAAACTTCAAAGATTGCCTGTCTTGGATTTGGTAAGGGAACATTAAATCTAGTTTGTTCTGCTGACTTGTTGCAAACCATTAGTAGAATAAAGGGCTTGAGCAGTTTGTGGAGTCCTCGATTATGGTTGTCTTTAAAAACACATTAGAAAAATCTGTCAAGAAGGACAGTGAGACTACTTATGAGATGGACCAGTGAAGAGACTAGATGACTTTTTGCTATCTCTTTCCATCTTACAATAACTTGTCAAAATTATGTGTATTTCAAATGAAGTGCCAAAATCTGTTATTGATACTGAAGAAGTCAGTGGTGTTAAGATTTGAATGGAGCTATTGGTACTTTTAAAACATTATTAATTTTAATTTATGTCCACTCTAATTCAGCAAGATAGAATTTTGCATTTTAAAAACCATTTTATGTTGACTAAGGAAGCAGTAGTTGGCTGGCTATACCTAAACAGTTATAGCTAAGGAAGAGAAACATGCTGAGAAATTTCACTTAGCTCTTAAGCCTAAGTTACCAAATTATGTCAGCTTATAATTTTTCATAGGGAATTCTTTAGTAAAATTGAAAAACATTTCAGATCATCTGTTGGGGGGGAAAGTGTTGCTTTCTTTTACTAAAAGCAGTGGTTGCAATTTGTTGTGTACAACACTAACATGTTACAAACTGTACTACTAATAAATTTGTTGTTGGAGAGAAAAGGAGCTTTAAGAAATGGATTTTTTTACTCTTCACTCACTTATCTTAGGGGTGGGGGTTTTTGTTGTTTTTGTTGTTTTTGTTTGTTTGTTTTTAATATATTGCTTGAAGTTCATATGTAACTTTTTGAAACTGTGACCAAAAGAATCTTTTATGGTATTTTTTTTTCCTCTTCTCTCCCCATCCCAGTCCCCCTCCAACATATAACATTAGAAGAAGTCCAGTTGGTAAAGCATAACGAAATAAATTAACTATTGTATTTGTTGGCTTTTTATGAATAAGCTAGTATTCATTTATTGCTGCATTCTAATCATGGAATTCAGGTAACAGAGGTTAAGTAAGCCCCAGAGTATAATTAGAAAACAAATTTGTTGCTTGCAAACAGGGTACTGTGAATTTGATTCTTGGCTCTTTTTTGGGAAGGAGGTATAAATGTTAATTTTACTGCCTTCTAGCTTAAAATACAGTAAAGGTTAAATAAATATGGAGCAGAAAAAAAATCTAGTAGTATGACCTATAAAAGTATAAATGGCCTAGTGTTCTCTTCTGTTTGCGCTTTTTCAGCAGCACTAAGTAATTTCATGTTAGTGTGGTAGCATTTAGTACTGCGTCATATATGGCTTTTGTATTCCAAAGTACATTCATAGCCAAATGTTTGTTTGAAAAAAAACCAAACCAAAAAACCAAACAAAAAAACAAAAACCAAACCAAAACCAAAACACAACAAAAAACCCCACTTAACAGCAAGATGCAAGATTGTCTTCTTTCAAAAGTCCCACTAGGTGCCAGCAAAGGACCTTTTCAGACGGTATGAACCAGTGAAACGTTTTGTAGGAATTCTCAATCCCATTACTCTTGTAAGAGTTGACAGTGTATTAACTTTTTGACATGCTGATCATTTTATTTAAAAAATAAAAACAATTAGTAATTAGCTATGAATGTATGAGACAGTTTGTATGTAATTACACAGAATAGCTTTCTTCTGTGATTATGCACAGACATAAATACGATTACCAAGCACACTTAGCTCAGTGTTCTAAAGTTTGTGTTGCTGGTCATATATTTGCATGCCATATTGAACTCTAATGAATGTCCGCTTATTGTGGGCTTCCAGCGAACAAGATGAGGTAGTTCAGTTTGTAAGAATAGTTTGTTTCTTTCTGTGTTTGACAGCTGTAAGGTGGAAAGGTTAAAATATAAAATAAAAAGTTAACATGGTAGGCTGAAAATAAATGCCAAGTTATTAATCAGAATAACTTTTTGTGGTTCTAATTCAGTTGCAGCTCACTGAAAACAATTAATTGGCAGGAGAGGTTTCTACTGTGTGCACATCTTCAGAAAGTGTGATTGCTTAACAGCATGTAGATTGCAAGATAATGCCAGATCTCTTTCAAGTTTTATTTAAATAGTGCAGAAAGACTTATTTTTTTTTTCCTTTTTTTTTTTTTTTTTTTAAGGGGAGGAGGCTTATTTCACTGGTTTATGCATAATTCAGACCTCAGCAGTTTGCTAGCATGGTTACTATTTGGAAATTCAATCCTCGACTTGATACTCAATTATATGGGACTTCATTCCTACCAACTTCCTGTAATTCTAAACCTATGGGTAAAAATATTAGTAGTCATACGCTGCTGAGGAAAGTACGGACACATTGACTCAGCTAGTGCAGCTGCAGCAGGAGTTGCCGTTTTAAACTTGGAATTACTGGAAGTTTATTATTGTATTCATTTATGCAAATTACAGAAGGTATAATTGAAACAAGGTCAGTAGTGTTTGTCAGTGTGTTGCAGCTGAGGTCATTGGAATGTAAGTGCTTTGTAAATGAATGCTTTCTGACTGCAAGCAATCAAAGACGATCCAGAAACTGCAGTTCAACAAATGGCTGACTTATTTCAAGAGGTACAGTTTGTTTTGTTTTGTTTTGTTTTGTTTTTTTTAACACTAGTATCTTGTAGAAATTAGGACAAAGACTGCAACTTTTATGGACTTTTACTGTTGTGATGTACGAGCTCTAGGTTCTGTGCAGCTGCCTGTAGCCTTTCTGCTGAAGGATCTTTGTGGTTTTCATTTGCTAACATGCGTGGAAATGAGAACAAATGGCACGACGATTAAGATTGCATTTTGCTACCCAAAGAAGCAACACAGATCCCTTATCGGAAACCTCTGAAAATGTTTTGGATAG